GTTCATTTGGTAAATGCCAGCTTAAACTGAAAGAAATTGATTATACATGTACATATACATATATATATATATATATATATAGAGAGAGAGAGAGAGAGAGAGAGAGAGAGATCATTCTCCTATTAAAGCAAAATTAAATCTATTTCTGATCAGAATATCCGACAAGCTTCCCTACACTGTGGATGGATGCGAATGTTGTATCATTGCCAAGAGAAGCACCCATGGGGTGTGTTCTCTTTGCATTCTGGTACAAGGCCTGATCATGAAGTCTTGTGCGTGTTTTGTTTTCCCCCTGATATTGCATCTCTGTGTAGCTCACTGTGAAGATGATTCATGGTTCCTGTTTTACACACTATATCAGCAGTGGAAAGGGATCCTTAGCCCATGAGAGTTCAAATAGAAAACCCATTTGCTTTACAGGTCAAACTGCAAAGGCATCTTGCCCTTCACCTGCTGTGGGATCTTTACAATGCAATCCTAAGTAAGATGGCTCAGAATCAAGTCTCTCTAACCTGATTTACATGACATGACAGCCTGCCTTGGCTTAATTCACCCACAGGGGCTGTTAAATTGTGCTGGAGTCTGCCATACTTGCTGTAGAGAGGGAGCCCAACTCTTGCACATTGCAATCTGCTCAGTTAGGGGGCCGAGAGGGGCAGATGACTTAGTAGCTTCAGGTTTACCTAATGAAGCTTCTCAGGTAGAGCATGAGAACCACCACCACCCCACCTTGGAGGAAGTCCCTTGGGAACTGAAAGGAGGTGCTGGAGAAGGAATTCCTTGACCCCGTCAGGAAATGACATATGAAATGAGCAGACCAACTACAAATATGTGCAGCATTCCCACCACCTAGCCCCAGGCAGAAGGAGCCACACTGAAGGGTGAGTCAGAAGCTTTTCTGAAAAAGAAGGAAGGAGGGGAAGTCCCAGTTTGGCTTCAGCTCTTTACTTGGGCAAATGTTTCTTCGATAACTCAAAAAGAACAGTATTTCGATGCATTGTTTCAACATGTTATGCTCCAATAAGGACGTTTACAAGGTCTTTCCTGAGTCTTCAGGGGTAGGGATACACTCATTATGGCATTTGGACCAAGTGACAGGGGGTGTTTGAACATTTGTTGTTGTTAGTCACGAAGTCGTGTCCGACCCATCGTGACCCCATGGTCAACATTCTTCCAGGCCTTCCTGTCCTTCACCATCTCCCAGAGTCCACGCAAACTCACACCAACTGCTTCAGTGACTCCATCCAGCCACCTCATCCTCTGCCATCCCCTTCTTCTTTTGCCATCTATTGTGCCCAGCATTAGGCTCTTCTCCAGGGAGTCCTTCCTTCTCATTAGGTGGCCAAAGTATTTGAGTTTCATCTTCAGTATCTGGCCTTCTAAAGAGCAGTCAGGGTTGATCTCCTCTAGGACTGACCAGTTTGATCGCCTTGCAGTCCAAGGGACTCGCAGGAGTCTCCTCCAGCACCACAATTCAAAGGGCTCAATCCTTCAGCGCTCAGCCTTCCTTATGGTCCAGCTTTCACAGCCATACATTGCAACTGGGAAAACCATAGCCTTGTCTATGCGCACTTTTGTCGGCAGGGTGATGTCTCTGCTTTTTAGTATGCTGTCTAGATTTGCCATTGCTTTCCTCCCCAGGAGCAAGCGTCTTTTAATTTCTTGGCTTCAGTCCCCATCTGCGGTGATCTTGGAGCCCAGGAAAATAAAATCTGTCACTACCTCCATTTCTTCCCCATCAATTTGCCAGGAAGTGAGAGGACTGGATGCCATGATCTTAGTTTTCTTGATGTTGAGTTTCAAGCCAACTTTTGCACTCTCCTCCTTCACCCGCATCAAGAGGCTCTTTAGTTCCTCTTCACTTTCTGTCATGAGAGTGGTATCATCTGCATATCTGAGGTTGTTGATATTTCTTCCACCAATCTTAATTCCAACTGGTGATTCATCTAGCTCCACCTTTCTCATGATATGCTCTGCATATAAGTTAAATAGGCAGGGTGACAATATACAGCCTTGCCGAACTCCTTTCTCAATTTTGAACCAATCAGTAGTTCCGTGCCCAGTTCGCACTGTTGCTTCTTGACCAACATATAGGTTTCTCAAGAGACAAAGAAGATGGTCAGGTACTCCCATCTCTTTAAGAACTTGCCACAATTAGTTGTGATCCACACAATCAAAGGCTTTAGCATAGTCAATGAAGCAGAAGTAGATGTTTTTCTGGAACTCCCTAGCTTTCTCCATGATCCAGCGTATGTTGGCAATTTGATCTCTAGTTCCTCTGCCTCTTCGAAACCCTGCCTGTACTTCTGGTAGTTCTCGGTCCACATACTGCTGGAGCCTAGCTTGTAGGATTTTGAGCATAACTTTGCTAGCATGTGAAATGAGTGCAATGGTGCAGTAGTTTGAACATTCTTTGGCATTGCCCTTCTTTGGGATTGGAATGTAAACTGACCTTTTCCAATCCTGTGGCCACTGTTCAGTTTTCCAAATTTGCTGGCATATTGAGTGTAGCACTTTTACTGCATCGTCTTTTAAGATTTTGAATAGCTCAGCTGGAATGCTGTCACCTCCACTCGCTTTGTTGTTGCTCAGACTTCCTAAGGCCCATTTGACTTCACATTCCAGGATGTCTGGCTCAAGGTCAGTGACCACTCCATCGTGGTTATCAGGGACGTTAAGCTCTTTCTTGTATAGTTCTTCTGTGCAATCTTGCCATCTCTTCTTAATCTCTTCTGCCTCTGTTAGGTCCCTGCCATTTTGGTCCTTTATCATGCCCATCCTTGCATGAAACATTCCCTTCATATCTCCAATTTTCTTGAAGAGATTTCTGGTCCTCCCTATTCTATTGTTTTCTTCTATTTCTTTGCACTGTTCATTTAAGAAGGCCTTCTTATCTCTTCTAGCTATTCTCTGGAATTCTGCATTCAAATGGGTGTATCTTTCTCTTTCTCCCTTGCCTTTCGCTTCTCTTCTTTCCTCAGCTATTTGTAAAGCTTCCTCAGACAGCCATTTTGCTTTCTTGCATTTCTTTTTCTTTGGGATGGTTTTAGTTGCTACCTCTTGTACAATGTTGCGAACCTCCACTCTGTCTATCAGATCTAATTCCTTAAATCTACTTGTCACCTCTACTGTATATTCATCAGGGATATGATTTAGATCATACCTGAGTGGCCTAGTGCATTTCCCTACTTTCTTCAATTTAAGCCTAAATTTTGCAACAAGAAGCTCATGATCTGAGCCACAGTCAGCTCCTGGTCTAGTTTTTACTGACTGTGTAGAGCTTCTCCATCTTTGGCTGCAGAGCACATCGTCAATCTGATATCTGTGTTGACGGTCTGGTGATGTTCATGTGTAGTCTTGTCTCTTGGGTTGTTGGAAAAGAGTGTTTGCTATGACCATTGTATTCTTTTGACAAAATTTTACCAGCCTGTGCCCTGTTTCATTTTGTACTCCAAGGCCAAACTTGCCTGTTATTCTGGTTAGCTTTTGGTTTCCTACTTTAGCATTTCAATCCCCCATGATGATAAGGACATCATTTTTTGGAGTTAATTCTAGAAGGTTTGTAGGCCTTCATAGAACGAGTCAACTTCAGACTCTTCAGCACCAGTGGTTGGGGCATAGACTTGGACTACTGTGGTGTTGCATGGTTTGCCTTGGATTCGAACTGAGATCATTCTGTCATTTTGAAGATTGTATCCCAGTACTGCTTTTCCTACTCTTTTATTGGCTATGAAGGCTACTCCATTTCTTCTGAGGGATTCTTGCCTGCAGTAGTATACCTGATGGTCATCTGAATTAAATTCACCCATTCCTACCCACTTTAGTTCACTGATTCCTAAGTTGTCGATGTTCAGTCTTGTCACCTCTTGTTTGACCACGTCCTGCTTGCCTTGATTCATGGATCTTACATTCCAGGTTCCTATGGAGTATAGATCTTTGCAGCATCGGACTCTCCTTTCACCACCAGATACATCTGCAACTGAGTGTCCTTTCGGCTTTGACCCAGTCACTTCATTCTTTCTGGCGCTACTAGTACTAGCCCTCCGCTCTTTCCCAGTAGCATATTGGACTCCTTCTGACCCGAGGGGCTCATCTTCCGGCGTCATATCTTTTTGCCTTTTGGTACTGTCCATGGGGTTTTCATGGCAAAGATACTGGAGTGGGTTGCCATTTCCTTCTCCAGTGGATCACGTTTTGTCAGAACTCTCATCGAAGTTAATTAAACCATGGTGGGTTGTAATTTCACACTTACCAGGCCAATTGAACTCATTTTCAAATAAGCATGTATAGAAGTGCAGTCCTGGGAAATTTTACCTGCAGCGGTGAACTGATTAACTGAAGGGGAAACTGACTTTTCAGGCAGTCAAAAAGAGTTTTCAGCTGATGAACTGATGAAATTATTCAGCAGAAAACTTACTGGTTCCTAAAAAGATCCTGCCAATTAATTGAGCACTGTGTTAAAATATATATTCAGTTCTCAGAGAGCATGTCTTAGAAGAGGATTCTGCATTTTCTCATGCAAGAGGGAACCCTTTCGGAAGATGATGTCTGAAGCAGCACATGCATACATAATGTAAAATATACAGCTTTCTCTTCAGACTTTTGTTTTATTCATATCTGAGTGTGCACAAGTTTGATTGCTATCATTTAAAGTTAATATTATTTGACACTCATCCACTTAAGTGCAATTCTATGCATATTCCAACATTAAAAAATGTCCTACAATTCCCAGCATTCTCCCCTGACCAGGGGAGACAGCCCATATGGTTTTCTCCATGCTGGTTACAAGGGTTCACAGCATCAGTTCAGCCTTCAGAGTCCAACTCTGCGATTACAGGATCTTGAAACAGGGACTCTGAAGAATCCTATGGCCTCCCCAGATGCCAGGAGTTCTTAGGATAGCACTGAAAATGTTTCTGTGTACGGGGAGGGGGGGGGCAGAATGTGGTAAAGCTGTAGAGACAGATCCAAGCATGAAAAAATACCAAAGAACCAATGAGTGAGAATGCCTACCATTTTATTATTACATTTTTGTAGTAATTAATTTCATCTATGTGAGTTTTGCATCTAACAAATGTCAGTCCCAAAATCTGTGCAATTTTAACATTTAAACTTCATAGGCAGAAAAAGCAAGACAGTGCAAGATACAAATACTAAGGTAGAATGTCTAAAACCTTGACTAAATAAAACTTATATTTTATAGTAAAATTATCCATGTATGTGGCTCAGATCATTTTTGAATTGAAGATAAATCAATAGACAAGGATAGCAAGTGACCGCCAGTGGGGAAATAAGTAGTGAGAATTAAGGGAAGGGAATCTTGGCTCAGTGGTCCTTTGAATGTAGAAGATTCCAGGGCCAATCCTCAGCAGCTTCATTCTTCACAGATGGCTGGGCTGGGAAGATTTGTCTGGATGACATCCTGGGGCATCATCATCAGTCAAAGGAAGACAGTATTGGAGTGGTACATGGCACAGTACTGGTCCTTTGATTTGACTCAGTCTAAGGCTGTTCATATTTTCTGTAATGGAACTGTAATAGCTTGTTGTTAAAATTACTCCTAAGTTCACCAAAGCAAAAGATCTCCTTGCTTCACAGTCTATCACTGCATAATCAATAATGGCGGATTATTCTGTGGTGCTGGTCACAATCCTGAGCCTGATAGCACCTCTGGATTTGTGGTTCCTCTGTGGAGAGATTTGCAGGGGGGTTTTTACCCTCTGCGCATCCTTCATATGTGAGTCAATTGGGCCTGAAGTGGATCTCAGGAGGATGAAATGAAAACAGGAGTGCTCACGCACACACATTCTCTCACTGCCCTATGGCCACTGGGCAGCGTATGGTGAGAGTCAGGAAAAAGAAACTACTGGAGTCCAATTGAACTATTTCAAATTGTGCCAGTAATTTGGGGATTTAGCCCCTAGAAGTGGAAGCTCCTCACATTCTTAGCAGTAGTCCATTGTAGTCATGTAGACCTTCCTCGGTGATGGACATCATTGCAAATTACAGTTTTGCATTTCTGACCACAGGACCTTAATGGCAAATCCTTTCTGTCATTTCCTTCTGCAAAACAGAACAAAATGGATTTAGGAAATCTTTAGGAAACCAGCTCTACCTAACAAATTGGTGCACAAAACCCCTTAAGGATACAAATCCTAGGAATACTTGAGACAGAAAAAAGCCCTACAGCTCCCAAAATTGGCTGTCTGGGGAAAGCCGGAAGTTGTAGGGCTTTTTCTTGCCCAAAACTGCATAGGATCACATTTTATGTCTCTCACAAGATTGGCGGATTATGGGGAGTCCAGCTGCTCATGCCACCAGTGATGCAAAGTGGGTCAGGAAGCAAAGACATCTTATAATCCTGGGCATCTGATCAATTCAATGTATTTATTATAAATATTATATACAAAAGTGAGAAATAGTTTGCTCATTCTACTGGCAGCTATGGGGAGGGAGCCAGTGACACACTACTGCTAGCACTATTGATTTTAGGACAGCAGAAACCAATCTTGCTTGTCAATAACACTTGGAAGCACCAAGATAGCACACTGCTGTTTCCTCCCTAGATTGCCTTATTATTCTGCACAGCAATTGCAGCATTTCCAGAAGCTATGAAAAAGACCCAAAGTGATTTCTTAAAGTGCCACCTTCCAGGCATTAAGACCTACAAAGCTAACTCCCTCTGCCGGGATATTCAATAGCACACTCTGTTGCCTACATCCCGCCTTTTCCCCCTCCTCCGTTGCATATTGCTGGCCACATTGGCAAATAATAGGAACTGCACTTGCCAAATAGGCCTGCTTTCTCTTTAAGCTATTTGCTCGGTTTGGCTGGAAAAATATACAGCAATCCTGGAAAGAAGACAGAGACCACCCACTTTCTAAGAAGCCTGTTCTTTCTAAGCTTTAAACAAATCTGTTCAAATTATTTCAGATATAATTCATACATAAATATGAAGATTAAAACTTACTCATGAACAAAAATAAATGCTGCATGAAATTCTATAGTTTTGCATTGCATTTGAAATTTTGCAATTTGTGGCATGATCACAGTCATGATTCATTGCTTGCATTTACCCGTGAGCCACTTACATTCAAATCATCAATTACTGGCAAGCTCAGGGCTTTTTGATGAGTGCTGATTTTGGCTCTTTATTGCAGGTTTATTTCAGGCTCATGAAATATTGAAAAAGTTACAAATCAACATGTTAACATCATTGACATTTACTATATGGGATTTTAGAATGGAAGAGAAGACATTTCCAGATAAGCTGTGTTGGAATTTTGAACTTGGAAGATTACAGGCATCCTGGGGAAGGCAGAAAGAACACAGAGGCAAATTTTGAAGGAGAGGGAGTTAGCAATACCACTGCTTTGTATGTCTTAATGCCTGGAAGGTGGCACTTAGGTGACCATTTTTGACTGCCTACATGTTTGGCCATGGAGTACAACCGGTTGGAGATGATGTACCACCAGAAAACTATGTATGCTGATGGGACCTGTCCCATTTCCTCCCTGTGCTCTCCCATCCCTGAAAGCCCTTCTCCAAGGTCACTTGCAACCTCAAGAAAAAAATCTGTTTTTCCATGCGAGCTGCAAGGGCAGAGGTAGAGCATGCTGACTTCAGACCCCCAACTCCAATCTCAGAGCAAGTTCTCTGGGCTCCACAGTTTCTAGACAGTGTCTGGACAGCCATGGCATTGTGTTCTTTATCAGTCAAACTAGCATTATACTAAAAAAGAAAGAAAAGGAAATGTTGGCTGCTTTCAGTAACCTGTTCTTCAATATGTTGTCAACTTGTCATAAATATATCATATAATGCAAAATAATATTTTGCACCTGTAAAGTGGATTTTCAGTGTTCCAAGCACTTCATATACATTTCTTAACAGATATTACAACAACCCTTTTAGGTAAGACAATAGGTTGGATCCAAAGTTTCCTTTCTGTCAATGGAAGGGGTCTCCATTTGATGGAAAGGCTTGTGCTACTGATGAATGGAAGAAATAGCTGGCCCAGGCCAGTATTTTTAGCCCCGTATTGCAGATGGGAAGGCACAGTGAGAGTCACTTGTCTCCAGTTGCCTAAATAAGTTCATGGCTGAGGGAGATTTAAACCAGGGACAGCCCAGGTTGATTAAAATCAATTTGATCTGGTGGATGTTTGCAAAATGTAGCACATAAAGACATAGCCAGAACTATGGATAATTTTATTCTGATTTTTTAAAGACAATCCTAATCATTTTCAAAGAAATGACAGTAGTTTTGTTCTTGGTATACATCATTACATTTCTGAATTGATTTCAGCTTAAAACAGCCTAAAGGTTTCAGATTTGAAAGAAATAAGATGCTGAAATGAGACACAGACAGCAAAAATAGGACAGAACTTCAATACTTCTTTGAGTTGCCTTGGTGATAACCAAAAGGGTCAAGAGAAGCTGATATCAACAAAGGTTTATGCTGTGTCTAGAATTCAATTTCCTCTTCCTTTTCTTTTAATATCAAAGACATATGCACAGGCATGGGTAGCAAAGGGGAAATGCACCATATATGAAGGCTGTGATGTAAAACCAACATTTCATCAAATATCACTATGGCAATTAAAGCATGCAAATGGGGAACTTCATACACACAGTACTGAAAAACTAATGATAAGCCTCCCTTCCTGGGTGAATTACCTCAAGGAAAGCCTGTTCATGTGGTTCTAGCCATGTAAAAGAGCGCATATCACAGAGAGGGACACATGCAGCATCTTCTGATGATTGGCATGTAAACAAGTGAGTCCACCGTAAACAGAATCAAAAGGCACTGGAGGTACCATCATGAATGCATTACCATAGGGCAGGACCATTGGAAGCTGCCAATGTTCTACCAAAGCAGGCCACTGGTCCCTTTAGCCCAGTCTTCTCAACGCTACTGGCAGTGACTTTCCAAGCTTTCAGGTGGGAGGTTTTCCAGGACCCACTGTGGGCCCTTCTGCATGCAAAGCATGAGCTGCACCATTCAGCTATAGCCCCGTCCTCCATGTGGTCCGGCAGCTCATGGCATCACTTTAAAGTGTGTGTGTGGCTGCGGTTGGACTGCAACTCGGATCAGGCCCAGCCAGCAGAGCCAGTGACGAGGGACGATGAGGGCTACATGCCAGCAACATCTGGAGGGCCACATGTTCCCCACTCCTGACAGATATAAAAGTTACTTCCAACATATCATCACAATCCAGTGTGGGAAAGTGATACAATCCAAGGGGATGTCATAGATGAAGGGCACAGCTATGCAGCAAAGAGCAGTCTTGATTTTCTGCGGTCACGGTCACTGGTGTCAGTCTGCTTTCACCCCTGTACAGGGCTTCCTCACTCTCTTCAATAAGGAATCTTTGCAATCTACAACAGTCCCTTGCACAAATGCACACCCACACAGTAATGGTAGGCTTTCCCATAGCATATAATTCTTTTCTAATTTATTCTTTAATTATTAATTAATTCTTTTCTTTTCTATAATTCTTTAATTATGGCCTGATCTTTTGACATGATCATGGCAAACTTTTATGATTTAGGATACAACAGCCTGGATCCTAGTTCAACTGAGCTGCTGCTGAAATAGCAACTTCGGAATCCTGTGTATGTTTAGACAGAGAAATGTTGTAACCTTCCAGCATTCCCCAGCCATTTGCCTGAATATGCATAGGATTGCCCCCATAATTGATTTCTTGTTTGTTCCATCAGTTTAAATGGGAACCAAGTTCAACTAGCTTAGTCTGGATCCTGCCCCAAGTGTTGTATTGGAATTAGGACTCTGTTGCTGTGCAATGTCCAGCATCCACAGGGCATCTATCAATTAGTTGAGGACCCTTTTTTTCTCTCCTATCTATGCCCTGCACGTTCTCCATGACGAGTATAGAAGGCTTTCATATCAGCACTTGTGCTGAAATGTCACTTGCTGATAAAATTGCCAATGAATTGACTCTAGACTGACTCAAGCAACCCTTCTGATTAGAGCCATTCACTTTCACTGCTGCTTATGGAGACCCAGGCTCCCACCAAACTACTTTCTGAACTGTCTGCTATTCATGTATGTTGCCATTTTGCTCACAGAGGGCAAGTAAATTAAACCTTAATGTCAAGGAAGCAAAGTAATGATTCTGGTGATCTATGAAATGTCACAAAAGGTGTGAAGGGGAGAAGGGGAGAAGGAAAGGTGGCCAAACACACAAAGTAATCTTGTCAGTTGCTTCCAAGTCACTGAATTAGAACTGATTCTTTTGAGAAAGGCTTCAGTTGAATGACAAAGAGCTAGACCCTGGAAGCGGACACGTGGAAGCTAAAGAAGACAGTGACTGGGTTCTCACAAGCCTTCATGGATTGCCACCAAGAATGGGTTAACATCCATGCAAAGCCAGACTAATTTCCTGAGTGGCTGGTGTCTGGGCAACAAACCAGCCCAATAACCCAAGATGGGTTGCTGTGTCTTCCAAACCTAGATGGCCAGCCTGTTATGGGGAGAGGGGGAAAGGCTGGTGAGCCCCATGGTAAGAGCACTGATTGCCTTGCCCTGGGGCTAGCTTGAGAATGCCAGTGTCATCCATGCCCAACGTGCCCAAACAGCACTCGGGGGCAGCTGGCACTGGCTTCCCCTCATTCCTGCAGCAAGCACTTTGGGGCTGGCCGCAGTTTTTTTCTGTTTAAGATTTTCTTGTCCAGATCCCCATTTTGACAGCTACAAATGGCCCCTTCAAAGTGTCCCGGAAGCACATTGGAGAGACTGCCTGTGATTGACAAGCTGGTGGCTTGTTTCTGCTCTCTCTCTCTCTTTGTCTGTGCAAGTGTGTGTGGGTGCGTGTGAACGTGTCTATGTACAACTTCTCTAGCCACAGTTGTACAACTGGAAAAGATTGCAGTGGTGCACCTGTGGGGGCTTGAAGAAAATGCCTGGGTTGGTGTCTCCTGGCAAGTGGCAGCAGGTACCAACAGTGGATATCACTCAGAGGAGGGTCGACATTTTTTGCCCTTTGATTTTTCTTGAGAGCCCTCAGAAGGCAAGAAACTGAAGGCGTAAGTTTCCTTTAGCAG